CGAAGCGACCGCAGCTTCTTCTTGTTCTTCTTGTTCTTGTTCTTCTTCTTCCTCCGCAATTGGCTCGGGGACTAACGTAACGTTAACAAACTAAACTCCGACAGCACGCAAGACTCTATGGGGGTACTCACAGTAATCGTTCGCTTGTACTGTAAGTAGCATGCCTAGTTAGCAACATTGTCATACTGAAGGAGGTGTGTGCAGTCAGGGACTAATGAGCATGATGCGTATAGATAGAGACGGAAGGAGACACTAAGAAGATAACATACGCCAGAAAGGGTGGTCGCCGTCAGGCGTCATGCCCGAGGACTCAGCCCAGTCGGTCGTACTGACCGCAGGGAAGGTGGTAGACGACAAGTAACTACACGTACAACACATTGTTAGTCTCCACAACCATCGTATATATCAATCGCAGCAATTGCACTCACCTCATGTTGTCTTGGGTTACATGAGGTGATTGAATCTCGCGCTGAGGTTTACAACCTGCGCCCGAAGGCGGCCGCGCTAACACTGAGGGAAGGCACGACTGCCACCCATGAAGCAAGTACACCCGCTACCCATGAAGCAGGTACACCCGCTACCCATGAAGCAAGTATGTCTGGTACCCATGAAGGCTGTACGCCTAGTGTCCACAAAGTCAGTGCGCGCATTATACACGAAGCAAGTACGCCCAGTACACTGAAAGTCAGTACACCCAGTACAACGGTATCTCTGAAGTAAGTACGTTCGGTACCCTTGAATTCAGTATATCCCGTACCCACGAAGCAAGCATGTTGCATTCATCAAACAAACACTTACACAAAGTCTCCGAGAGACACGAGACGAACCATTATCCATCTCTTACTGCTAATAGTGACTGAATGTCTTGTCCCGTGCTGGTGTGGCAGTGCGTTTCTACAATGGAGTTTATCTGTTTGTCAGTAACTGAAGATACCTCGTGTGTTGCGGGCCCCAATAACAGGAAAGAAGGTACTAAAATCAATTTTTCAATTCGCAAATATGAGCTACAGGATAAGCATGACTTGTTACTGGAATCATGTATAGAGATCGCTATCATATCCAGTGCCCAATAGACCCATGACATCTGAACGCATGCCTGGGTCTAACATGGAAATGACCGCATGTGCATCCCCAAGATATGCTCAGCCCAACGCGAAATGAAACCAGTTGTGAACAGGAACTAATCGAGAACCGATCACCGCTCAGGGTGACCCACCGAAATCTGCATTCATGTTAGCATATACTTCGAGTACTAGCATGAATACAGGTAGCATTGACTTACAAATCGGACTACTCGATTCTGGTGATCATGGCGCAGAGAAGGCTTAGAACTCATTTTCGCCATCGTCGGCACTCTCCAAATCGTCCGACTCGTCCGACTCAGGCTCATCCGAGGTGACCTGTATGTCCGAAGGATCCTCTTCGCGCGGTCCCGACAGATCCAACTCGGCCAGTTTGTTGCTGAAATGCTGGTTTGCTGTACCGGAGATAGAATAGAACTGGTTGATCAGGGCGGGATGCACGATCTTCCAATGTGCCACGTCTTCAGCTGACAAGCCATGGGCATCCTTCGCTGCCCCTGTGATTTCCTTGGTGGTAAATTTACCAGGACCCCGGATACCCCCAGTGCCCGTCCAAGTACAGCAAGGGCGACCTAACATCTCACAGACTTGACACACGTTCGAATTCCCAACCCTCTTGCAGCCTCTCTTGAAGACGCCGTTGTCGAAGGCTACGTCTGGGAGCATAGTGCACACGTCGCATTGTTTTCGAGGACCACCAAAGGAGCGAGTTGAGAACTTTCCAAACTCACCACCAACGTTTTGCAGCTGCAAGTGACTGGATTTGAGTTCTCTCAAGATGTCGCTGGAAGGTCTGAGCGTTGATGGCTGTATAATAAATGGCTCGTTTGAACGCTTGATCGTGATCATCTGGTTATGGAGGTCGAAGTCAGCGAGGAGGACGTATGCACGGCCAGACAAGCGAGGTATCCATGGTAAGGAGTGGTTTGGCGCTTTGCCGAAAAGCCACTGCAGGAAGGAAATGGCGGTAGCATAGCTCCTCAATGCTCCAGGAACACTGGTGTCCACAAATCTAAACATCTGGCTAGTCTGAAAGTATCGATAGCGCCATTGTCCAGAATTTGGAGGATGTTCCCACTCAATTCGAATTGCAAATGAGCTTGCCTGTGTCCAGTTCGAGAATGGGCCAATTCCAGAAAGACGCGACCATGCGTGTGGGTGACGGCTTCCATCCTTGTAAACCTCAACAACAAGATGATATGGGACGTTGGCCAGCGGTGCCTTGGTGCCATCCTTGCTGTCGCTCCAGAAGCTGAGACGGATACCCTGCTTGCCGTGCATCTTCTCCCAAACAGCCAGTTGACGCTTCGTTTGTCCAGGTTGTATAACCTTCGCATGGCTCAGTTTCCTAGGGTTGGCGCTGCGAAAGATTGCCACAGGAGTTGAGCGTCCAGATGCCTTGTCCATGGTTCTCGTATCGGTGCGAAGGAAAAGGATCCGGTTAGTATATGCCGTCCATTCTTGTAAAGGTGAGCTGAAGTTGGCACCTTGATACGCTCCGAACCCTTCCCGAGAAACAGCCCCATGCCACCCGGTGCGTTCAAAGACGTTGCGTGCGATATCAGTGAAGTACTTGGCATAGCCAATGGCCGAGAGTATTCCCGAACCACCCGAGCTGGCAACACGGTCCGAGAACAAGAATTTGCGATAGGTTTGACAAAGACAAACAAATATCTGCTCAACGACATGGGCGAGATCTGGAATATCGTCTTCAGAAAGAACGCACATTGCGAACATGTCCAAAGATGCGGAGTTTCGGGTCAGGTCACCATACCTGGAATTCGTCGCTGACTTGTGGCTCTGCGAACGGTGGTAGAAATTGACAGTCTTGCCGACGTATACATAGTACGTGTTTGGTTTCCAGTATGGGACCACAGAATCTGAAAGATGAACTCGCATGTAGACACCGCCTGTCTCTTGAGTGTAATCGTCGATGACATGTGTGGCAGCACCTACCAGATCCTGCCAACGAAAGCCTGGGTTGTTGAGAGTGTCATAGAGGCCTGCTTCCCTGATGCCCTTGATGATGGTCTTGGTGATAGAATCGATGCTTCTCTTTTTGACGATGTCTTCATACTTCGGGCCCATGAAGTCTGCGGGAGAATCGTGAAACGCGGTCAAGAGCGCATGGATGGTACGCCCCAATGTACTCTGGTCATCAGGAGTATCTCGCATCCACTGAATGGCGTTGAAGTCGAAAGCATCAAGACTGATATAGATTGGCCAGTCTTTGATATCGGACACCCAGCGTTTGCCTTTCCATACATCATTGGCTGATACCCATATGTTGTTTACCCACACCCGTTCCTGGGTTTGGGGATTCAATACATAACTTCCCGTGACGCCCTCAATGAAGATCTTGGCTTTCTTCTCGTTATTGAACACTTTCTCTTCTATGAGATGACCTTGCATGCCCTGGAGGAACACGGTGCGCGTCGACTGGACGTTGAAGCTCCGATTGATAGTGCAACCAAACTGAGTCTTGATTCTGGTGTGCGGACTAGTCGCGGGTATACCGGTGCGATTGTCGATCCATGAAGCAAGCTCGGAGGAGGAGAAACCGGCCGTAATGTGAGGACTATCTCCGGGGGGTAGGAACGGCATGATGAGCGTTATTCAGTAATGTCTGAACAAGGAGATCAGTCAGTAATGGGATTGGACCCTAAGTATCATGTTACGCTCAGCTTACGTTGGTGGGGGCCGCCCTGAGAGCTGGCGGTGTTTATCGGTGGGGCTACGGTAAGGTGAAGTAGGTCGGTTGGGGTAGCGAATTGGACGATGTCTGAGCGTTCCGAGCACACTGAAGAAGCCTCCAAATAGTTAGTAGTGAAGAGTGCGAGGAGATGTAGAGCTTACTGTAGCAAGTGTGTAGCAAGAGTGAGTAGAAAGTTGCGGGCGAAGGGCAAGGTTTTATACGTAGCCTCAGCAAACGGGTTGTGGAGCGGCCGGAAGCGAGAGAGTGACTCACCACTACTGCAGGCACCGGGCTGAAGGTCCACGTGAGAGAAATGGCGCGTGAATCCAGGGACCAACGCGAGCTCTGACGTAATACCTAGGTAGCTTGCGAATACGCCGTCACAAACAATACGCGCCTGGCTCAGGGTCTATGTCACCTGGGCAGCATGTCAAGACATCTATAAGCAGGCTAAAATAAGAGATCATGGAGTAAAGTCGTGCTTAGCATGACCCTTGTGACACTGTAAAGTATGAATTACCCTGTCCTATGCACCATATCAGACCCGCTATCTAGACGCTCAAGCCAGCGTAATCAGATACGTGAGATTTGAAAACGTAATACATGAATTGAATATCGTCTTCCTGTTTGTCGGCGGTCTATACAATCGGTTGGCCGCCTGGTTTCGAGTAATTGTGGGTGTGCAACAAACAGTGTCTTTACACATCAAGGCGGTCAGCCGCCGGACTCCAAGTGATTGCAGGTGTCCACGGGTGGCATTGTCGCAAACGAAGAGATCTTGTAGGCAGCAGCACAAGCGAAAGACGACATGATGCAGCGCTAGCTCTGACTCACCTAGATATCAAGGTACAGGGCATATAAGAAGGCCGCTTCTCTCTTCCGATAAATTGAACCGTCACTGGCGATTACTTGTGGAAGCACTGTGTGGATCAACAATACCTACTTCGGTAAGTATCGATAGACCTTCACTTTCACAGCCTCGTTCTGATACCTGCGGAATCAGAACAGCTTACTTCGCATCATTCCAAACTCAGATTGCCAAAGCCCTACACGATACCTAGGTAGGTTGGCAATTCACCGCTCAACGAAGACTGATACACTGCTGACACGCGATCCGACTGAACAGCGAACCTTCAAGACAACCCCAAAAACTACGCCGTAGGTGCGTTCGAGCGCACTTACGTCTGTTTGTTTACCCCCAAGCGGTCGATATCAAACTCAACATGAATACCTACGATGAGGATGCTATCTACAACCCTACCATCAACCGTCAGCTCAAAGGTGTCTCAGTGAGCGGAAGCCAGCTCGCCGCAACGCACGCACGCCATATCTGTGATCATGGTCCAGTACCCAGGAACTATTACGTAGAACGCAAAGCTCTTGGCGACCGTATCGATGTGTTCTATGCGGATCATTCCATCGACGACACCATTGTTGCAAGGGGACACAAGACGAACCCGAAGGGTAGCTACAACCATCCACTCTCTCCCGCCGGTCTGAAAGAGAATCCGAACGCCAACATCTTCAAGGAGTTTACCGACACCCGTCCGAGTGTCCCTGGATTCTTTCAGCCACCCTGCTCGTACGTGCCTGGCGATTTCAAGTGGAAGCACCACGAGAATTGGCACGCGGCATTGGCGGATGCCGCAACGGCCAAAGGAGTGTCCGTTTCCGAGACTACTGTTGCGGATTTGCATGATCAAATATTGAAGAACGCCAAGTACAATCTCCAGGAATCCCATACTCTCTATCACCCAGCCGATCGAGATACCGCTATCTTCAAGGACGAGCCTGCCGCTTCTTTGGTCGCCAGCCAGTTGGGAAGCGAATTCAGCCTGATCATCGTGTGCCCATACGTTCGAGCGGACGGTGTTGACTGGAATCGATTCTGGGACACACGAAATCGGCCTCCCATCATCACGAGATGGTCAACAGGAGAGCAGGGAGTGCATGAGCCTTTGATCTTGGGATGTCTCCCCAAGGAACACATTGCAGGCACGAGGGAATGGTACCACAAGGATGCTTATTGGTTCGCTCTAGAACCCAAGCCCAACACAGCATTCTCTAATGCATGGGACTCGTAAGTGATCCAACTTCAGTACCAACACGTTACTAACTCTATCAGTTATCGTCAAGAGGAGAGTCTTACAAAACTCCAAATGAGTTTTGGGTATCCCGAATCCAGCAACGTGAACATGTTTGTATGGTGCCTTGTTTCCCTCCACCGTAGGATAGCCCTCGGTCTCAACATACCCGACTCGCACCTCGGCTCGTGGATCTGGCAATATGGGAAGCATATCCACGCATGCGGCATGCCACACACGCCAGCTCCCTTCAATTACGACCCAAATCTGAACTACGGCGGTCGCGCGATCACGTATCGTGAGCTTACTGCATGGATCATGAACCCGAAGTTCAGTACTGTCAGCAAGGAGTATGCCCAGCGTTGGGACCTAGCCATTGAGGCTTTGATTGATCACAACCGTCACAGGAGCGACTTCCATTGGGCTGCGTTCCGTGCGAAGTTACTAGCTGCCAAGACACCTTTTTGGTGAGAGTTTGGTGATGCGGTGAACAGATGGATTATGACGTCAATCCAGAGATCATCAGTCGGTTTATCCAGATGACACAATTTGGAAGAGTGTGCGGCCACAAAGACGAGGGTTTCTATCCAGATATCCATGCGACAATGTTTGGCTGGCTCCTGTCATTTTACATATGGATTTGTTCTGCTTTTTTTGTTTTTGTGTTTTGATCTGACCTGCGCTATTGATTTCTTATTCAATAGGTAATCATACGACGGCGTTGGAGGGTATATGAGCAATGTATTTGCTCATAGATAGGGATTGGGAAGCAAGAGAGGAAGGCTGCCCCCATCTATACATGGAGCTCGGCGGCAGACATGGACTCTGTATCTAGCGTGCTTATGAATTGAAACCTGGTTTTGCATCTTTACTCCTCATGAAGGCTTTCGTGTCATTGCTCTGACGCGCTGTGCGAACCGAAAGGCCGGCTACGCTTGCTGCTTCTGGCTCATTATCATGGGCATCTTCGCCAAGTTTGCGGCGGCCCTTGTTGCCATTCCCTCAGCAGTTCTCGGTGGAATGACAACCTTCCTCTTCAGCGCCGTCGCTGTTAGCGGTATCAGAATCATCAGCACGATGTCTTTCACTCGCCGCAACCGATTTATCCTCACTGCAGGATTCACCCTGGGCTTTGGCGCTACCATGGTCCCAGACTGGTTTGATCACGTCTTCACTTACGATGGACCGAACCACGCACTTCAGGGCTTCTACAACGCTATCATCCTAATCCTCGAGACAGGTTTCGCTGTTGTTGCTTTCATCAACGTTGTACTTAACCTTGTCCTACCAGAGGAGATTGAGGACGAAGAGACACCGGAGTTGACTGCGAATGAAGTCGACGAGCCAGCGGACAAGGAAGAGTGGGCCAGGGTCAAGAAGGGAGACACTGATGTTGAGGGACGACCAAGTTCGGATATTGAGCCTAGCAAGGCCGCGTGAGCGCTGTGATGCATGGTTTTGACTTTTACGAAAAGCGATTTCTCATACTGGGTGGACATCTCGGCGTTGTAGTCTTCTTATAGTTTCATTACAAAGAAGTGACTTCCTTTACTCACCAAATGCCACCCTCGTGCTGTAGCCCAAGATGAGAATAGTCATCTTACGACACCGATATGCACCACAAAACCACTGCCCTCTTTCAAGCCCTCACCCAGCATCTTATCAGGCACCTGCCAGACGTGAAAATACCGATGAAAACTTTTCAACCAAGTCTCAAAGACCTCGGGACTGCGCAGCTGCTGCGCAATAAGACAAAGCGTTGGCTCGTCCTTGTCATCCTTCAACCTACATATCGCAGCACACGTCGTGTTGAGCGGCTCAATCAAAGCTTCGTTGTAGACGCAATCGCACGATACGATCATGTCCACGGGGTTGAGACGAGAGGTTGCATCTGTCTCCCAATCTAATTGCAGTGTTGTGATGCGATCGCCACTATTTCCTCCTTCTCCCTTCAGCTGACCTTGCTGTTTCTTAATTCCCTTCCCACTCTTTCTTTTTGTCGGTATGACGGTGTCAAGGTTCTCGGCGATATTCTGCCGTAGTATCTTGAGCACATAGTCCTGGTCAGTGGCTGTGTAGCTTGCGACTAGGGGACCTAAGCAGAGTGCGACGATACCGGATACGCCTGCGCCGAGCTCGAGGATGCTGGAGCTGGGTGTGAGAAGGGAGGATGTGAAGAGGAAATTTGTGGGGGAGGCGATCCATGTTGCGAACAACGGGGTGACTTTCCACACTACTGTTTAGGCGTTAGTTGGCGGGAGCGGAGCGGAGTATGGCATGTAGAGCGTGATAGTGCTCATTGCAATGAATTTGGTCGGCTATCTACTAGTCCTATATGGCCAACCCAGGCCACTATAGCTGAGATGCTATTGTAGGAGCCCGCATGAGAGGTCAAATTCAACTGAAATGGGGAACGTAGGGGGCAACGCGCGACCTCGGAGAAAATTATGGCAAACACAGAACTACTTACCGGCACCGGTCGTCCCTTCTTTACGGCTGGAAGTCAGCAGACCTCTTGAGTGGTGAATGACCAGATCATGGCCCGCCACGCTGAGGTCTAGAGTTGCCGCCGGCTCATCGATGAAACCGAGAGACTGAGAAGGAATATCTTGCGAAAAGACAACGAAGGCTTCTGCGTGATTTGATGAGTAACCTATCGATGATGACTTGTTTGCAGTCTTGCGACATGTTCCACATTGGGCGTACGTGAGAGCGAATCGCAACGACACAGCAATATTTTGAGCCGAGGACCAGCATAAGGGTGTGATTCGATGAGTACATTTGTGTACTCCAGGGCGTTTTACACACCTTCTTCAGGGTCCAGGATGGGCCCCGTTGCCAGAATCTCTGTGAGACTCCGCATCTTGGCAACGCTCAGGCGACAGCAGCCTGCGATTATCCGCTCGATCCTTGCACCTGCGTTAAGGTTGGCAACGGAGCGAAAGCGTCAAAAGGAGACAGCTGCGCGTCTTGGAAGAGTCTCCGGATTCCTTGGCCAGCTGCAGGCCGACTCCACTGCGTCTCACGACGACGTGAGGTCGAGCAGGTTTCCAACGCGAAGAATACGTCGGCAGGACACGACGGCGGGAGGCTGAGACGACCTGGCAGACCTTGCGATGTGTGCTGCGCTGTCGATCTTCAGTCGCATCTCGTTCGACAGAAAAGAAGTGGAGCAGCGGCTGGCCCCAGGTGCCCAGAGCTTGCGGTGGCTGAGTGAGGTCATCAAGAAGCTCGGCCACCCCAGCCAGGTCGTCGATTTAGCGACCGGGAAAGCATAACAAGCGCATAAGCTCCCAACACACCAACCTCATCACATCCGCCGTTCCCCGCTGGCGACGACACACTCTCCATATACCCTCTCGCTGCTTTTTGCACTTTTTGTGATACCCTTTGCCCTATACCCCTACACATACCCACCCCCATCACACACGGTCGTCACTCTGGACAGCGCCCACCCCAGAGCCGCCAAGATGCCGCAAGACCTCAAGAAGCTGATGCCCCAGGCCAAGAACCACCGGGCGGGGCCCTACACGTGCGAAGCTGCGAATGCAGAGAAGATCGAGGGCGAGACGGTGCCGCGTCGTAACCTGGCCGCGAAAGACGGTCTGGTACTGAAGCCCCACGACAACGTAGAGACATTGTACGACGTGCTGCGACACGCAGCCGCCAAGTACGGCAATGCAAAGGCAGTCGGTGCGCGTCGCATCGTCAACATACATGAGGAGACCAAGAAGGTCAAGAAGATGGTCGATGGCAAGGAGCAGGAAGTCGACAAGAAGTGGCAGTACTTCGAGCTCAGCCCGTACAAGTACAAGAGCTTCGTCGAGTTTGAGAAGATGGCGCTCGCAGTAGGCTCGGGCCTGAAGTCGCTGGGCTTCAACCCGCAAGACAGGCTTCACCTGTTCGCCGCCACGAGCATGCAATGGCTGGCGTCCGCACACGGTAAGCAGTCGCGTGTATCCGTACAAGAACCAGTAACTCATCATGCTTGCAGGTGCCATCTCCCAATCCATGGCCATTGTTACCGCATACGACACGCTGGGAGAAGAGGGTCTCAGGCATTCCATGCTTCAGACCAACGCAAAGGTCATGTTCACCGACCCTGAGCTGCTACCCAAGCTCGTCAACCCAATGAAGGAGGCCAAGGACGTCCAGGTCGTCGTATACTGCACCAAGAACGACCCCAAGCAGAAGGACATTGATACCCTTACCCAGGCGCACCCGCACTTGAAGGTTATGAGCTTCGACGAGCTGGTCAAGTTGGGCGAGGAGAGCCCTGCGGAGCCTATCCCGCCCAAGGCAGACGATCTGGCCTGCATCATGTACACGTCTGGATCTACAGGCACCCCCAAGGGAGTCATGATCAAGCACCGCAACGTCATCGCTGCTAGTAAGTCTTCTGCTACGAGCATGCGAACAAAGTACTGATCTCTTTCAGTTGCTGGTGTCGATGTTATTGTAGGCAAGTACCTCGGACCGGGCGACGTTCTCATCACCTACCTCCCCGCCGCGCATATCCTCGAGTTCGTATTCGAGAACGCCGTGCTCTACTGGGGTGGTACCATGGGCTACGGAACCATCAGGACGCTCTCGGACCAGTCCGTGCGCAACTGCGCTGGTGATATCCGTGAGTTGAAGCCAACGGTCATGGTCGGTGTACCGCAGGTGTGGGAGACCATCAAGAAGGGCATCGTCAACAAGGTTGAGGCGGGAGGCGCTGTTAAGAGCAACATGTTCTGGGGAGCGTTCGCCGCCAAGGGCTTCCTCCTTGGTTCTGGCCTGCCAGGTAGTGGTATTCTCGATGCCATTGTCTTCAACAAGGTCAAGGAAGCCACCGGAGGTAGACTTCGAATCTGCTTGAACGGTGGTGGACCCATCTCAAAGGAGACGCAGCGCTTCATCTCCATTGCCATTACACCCATGATCAGCGGATACGGTCTGACCGAAACCTGCGCCATGGGTGCGCTTATGGACCCCTTGGCCTGGAACGAGCACGCCCTCGGTGAGATGCCTGCTTCAATCGAGATGAAGCTTGTCGACTTTGCGGATGCTGGCTACTTCTCCACCAACAACCCGCCTCAGGGAGAAATCTGGATCCGTGGCGGTGGTGTCGTAGACGGTTACCTGGACATGCCCGAGGAGACCAAGGAGGCCTTCACCGACGACGGATGGTTCAAGACTGGTGACGTTGGAGAGTTCAACGCCAACGGTGAAGTCCGCATCATTGACCGCAAGAAGAACTTGGTTAAGACACTTGCTGGAGAGTATATTGCGCTCGAGAAGCTCGAGTCTGTCTACCGCTCCGCACCCATTGTCGCAAACATCTGCGTCTACGCTGCAGAAGATCGCCAGAAGCCTGTCGCGATCATCGTGCCCACCGAACCGCAACTGAAGAAGATTGCCGCCGCAGAGGGTGTCCAGGGTGACCACCTCGAGGAACTTGTTCACGACAAGAAGATCAATTCTGCAGTGCTCAAGCAATTGCAGCAGGCTGGCCAAAAGGGTGGTCTGGCTGGATTCGAGATGATTGAGGGTGTTGTGCTAGCAGACGAGGAGTGGACACCACAGAACGTAAGTACCTATGTAACATGGAAGAAAGTCTACAGAGTGCTGACATTACAACAGGGCCTCACCACTGCCGCACAGAAGCTCAACCGCAAGGGTATCTTGAAGCAGTACCAGAAGGAAGTTGACCAGGCCTACGGCAAGTCGTCTTAAAGACGTGTTGTCAGAAGCTAAAAGTTGAAGGACATTTCACGTGATCCTTGAACAACATGCTTGGCATCGTTGCAAATTTCCCATGACTATATGAATTGAGTTGGCGGAATATCCTCTTCCTTAGTATGGAGAAAGCTATGTAGTTATATCCTTGTTGCTATAGCACGGCGCAGGGGTCCTAGTTAAATGCTTATTCTGTGTGAATCTTGATCCCAGAAATTTGTCTCTTTACATATTGATAGATCGCGAAAAAGGTATTCCCTTGCGCATTTAGACATTACATCGACGTGCAGTGGTGCTCGACGAAAGCACCCACTCCCATGCTGCTCCGCAGCGTCTCACATGGTTGAGATACGAGTTGACTGGTTATGTGGTTGAGAAGACAGGTCCACCAAGCGGATAGCTTACTGCTTCTTAGCGTCCCTCTCAGCCTTTCGCAGGGCACGCTTCCGGATGCTCTCGTGCATGCCCCTGTTCACCTTGACAACAGTATCCGAGCGCTCACCCAAGAAGCGCGAAAGGAACCAGTGCATGAGTCCGTGGCTCCAGTACGGTGTGCTCGTGAAAGCTACGCCTTGTGCACCTCCACTCCTTCCAATCTTGCTTAGTGTAGCGTTTACGAATTGCTTGGGGTTCGGAACGAGTGCAGACGTCTTGCGGATCTTGGACATGGCCGTGGTGACGAGGTGAGACTGGACACATTGGACGTATACGCCGTGGGGCTCGAGTTCGGAAGCCAGCGCGGTGGACCATTGTTGTAGGAAAGCCTTGCTGCCGGAGTAGGTCGCGAGGAGAGGTGTAGGGAAGAAGCCGCCAAAGGAGGCCATGGTGAGGACGAGTCCACGCTTGCGAGACACCATCCCGGGGGTGACGAGCTGTGTGACACGGAGAGTAGCCATGCAGTTGATCATGATGATGTCGTTCATCTCCTGCTTGGGTGTCTCGACGAATGGTACTGGAATGCTGTGGCTCAAGCCAACATTGTTGACTAGTATGCTGACGTCGAGACCGTCAATGAGCTTCTTCATATTGTTGTAGTCGGCATCTTTGTTCTGCGCAAAGTCCATAGCCAGCGTCTTGACGGCGATCTTAGGGCCATACTTGGACGTGATGTCGGCGGAGAGGGAGTCGAGCTTCGATTGCGTACGCGAAACGAGGATGAGGTTGTAACCCTTGGCCGCGAGGGAGAGGGCGAACTCCTTGCCAATGCCGTCAGAGGCACCAGTTATGAGGGCCCAGGTGCCGCGGGGTCCGAATGTGCTGAGCTGGTGGGGGTTAGAGATATCCGGGAGGAGTCAAGAATGCTTAGAGGGGCATACAGATTTACCTGGCAGCACAAACAAGCTGAGAAGAACTCGAATAGTGCTAATGACAGGTGCTGCGAAAGATGCAACGCCTACGAGCAGGAAGCCATAGACAGCAGCCTGCACGAACGAGTTGCTTGCGTCGATGTGAACACCGAACGGCTCGAGTATGCCTGCCATGGAGAGCAAATATGGGAGCGGCCAGAGATTGGGTTGGTAAAGCTAAGGAGCAGTTGCAAGCGGATGCAGCATTGAAGTTCGCATGCTCCGTTAGCCCTCGCGACAATCTCGCGGCTTCGCTCTGGGCCCTGCCGAGGCTGGCCACTAGGGTCGCGCTAGCCCTCGGCACCGGAGGAACCTTTCTCCACACAAGCGATCGAATATTGCGATCCTAGAGCAACACCGAAAGCTCGACAATACCACCCGACCCGCAACCATGGCGACCGAACTCACGTACGTTGTGCGATACTGCGAATACTCTCGACAAATACTGATTGCGAAATAGTGTCCAGTCGGAGCGCGCTTTCCAGAAGCAGGTACTACACGCCCATTTCGCGAGCCCCCAGCAAGTCCGATACTAATGCGATGCGATAGCCTCACATCTTCCTCAACCACAAGGTCGGCGGACCCCGCAAGAACACCCGCGCCAGGAGATGGTACAAGGACGTTGGTCTGGGCTTCCGTACGCCCAAGACCGCCATTGAGGGTACCTACATCGACAAGAAGTGCCCATTCACCGGCATGGTCTCCATCCGTGGCCGTATCCTTACCGGCACTGTCATGTCCACCAAGATGCACCGTACGTGTTAGCCCAATTCTCGGAGCGCGCACACTAGGCTGCAACAGAAATATCAGAACGAAACGGGCAACAAGAACTAACGGAATGCAGGCACCTTGATTATCCGCCGTGAATACCTTCACTTCATCCCCAAGTACTCCCGTTACGAGAAGCGCCACAAGAACCTCGCCGCACACGTCTCCCCCGCTTTCCGTGTCGAGCCCGGTGACCAGGTCGTCGTTGGCCAGTGCAGGCCCCTCTCCAAGACCGTCCGCTTCAACGTCCTCCGTGTCCTCCCCCGAAAGGGAAAGGCTGCTAAGCAGTTCAACAAGTTCTAAGTGCATAGAAAAGGGATGGTGTAACGGTTCATGATCAGCAACGGAAAGAAACTTGGTTGAGGCGGAGTGTGACGGCTTTCGATATAGTCGTCAAAATTCGGCATCAAGGATTGAGGTATCGGAGTCCCATGGGCCATGTATGTTTCTTCAGCTACGATCAATGAAAGTCCTCGAGTGGTCAAACAAGCCCCGAGGCGGGTCAAAAGTCCATTGCCGTTCATGCTGCAGCGTGATGGATCTTGGTACATGTGTTTGCATTGGGAGCCCTGGCGATTAGTGTCTGCATAACATCACGTCTTCCTGTACTATGACATGTCCCTGGTTCAAGTTGTGAGAAGAGACACCGAATGAACGCGTCTTTGTACACATTAACATTACATCACTACCTCCATTTCGATGCCCAATACTCCCCAGCCCCCCACGCTAGGCCTTGACGTAGAAATCCCACTGCATCCACATCCAGATCAAACTTGAAGTTGCGACTATCACCGGTCCAGCCAATGGTTTGCCCCATCTTGTAGTTCCATACACAAACCATTCACTCATGAAGTGTCCCCAGGCTATAGCATAAGTCCACAAAGCCAATTGATAGAAGCTCGGATTGTTGATGTTGTATGCGGCGTAAAGTCGTACCATGCCCGTCAAGAAAGTCCATGTCCCAAATGTGCGCGACGAGAGAGCGGTTACGTGTTTCGGCGTGGTAGGGGGCGGATCAATTGCTGTAGGGTTGTAGACGCGCGAAGTGAAGGAGAGCGTGGCGTAGCATTGGAGGCTGTTGCCAACAGAGACTATGGCGACCTGTAAGAATTGTTAGTTTGTGTTACGATGAGAGACTGCATGGAAATGACAATCGCAAGCGCGGAGAACAGGACATACAAATAGAAGCCATTTGGGCAGTAAGCCTTCCGCTTGAGGAAGATAGGATTGTAGCGCGTCCATAATGGCGAGCAATTGGTTGCTTGGTCAGTGAGTAGAGTCGTCGACGCGTGCGCACGTCGAGTGTTGTATTTGGCAAATGTTCGGCCTTCTGTAGAACCAGCGGCATCTAAGGGTCTTGGCCTGTGCTCGTGGCGGAGGTATGCCTGGAATCATACCTCTGCCCATGGCATAGACCTATTACAACAGCATAACAGGAAACGCAGCTTATACCTTTAGCGTCTGATTGTAACTGACATTTTTGGTGCAAGGGCGATGATCGTAGACGTGATGATGAGGTGGTTGTTCCTAAGAGGCTAACCAAAGGTGTACGACGTGCCTCCCATGTTAGGTCAGCTGTGTGACAGTAGCTGAATACAACGAGGTCACCAGAAGCAGTAACGACGCGAGATAAGACCATACACTGCAAAGTCATTCAACTTTCTCTCCAAAAGACAAGGGTGCCCGACACCAGATGGCACTGAGTGAGGTATGTTATCGATAAGGCACCTTGAGAAACTGGCGCTGTTGATCATTCAACATGTTTCATCTCAGACCACAATGTCTATTGTCAATGAATACATTTCTCATGCATGTTCAACTTGCTGCAGCTGACCATGCGCATCTCGTTACAAAGCGGTCCGAACGACAATGACGTTGAAGATGACGCGAGCCACCCTCTTACTGGAGCCGCTGACAGGGACGAAGAAGCCCATCTGTTGACAAGAGAAGAGATGGACTTCGAAGACAACGCGTTGCCTGCGCGTAGTGGCCGACGTACTTTCCTTCGCTTCTTGCGCGGTCCAGAGCCACCTCGCATCCAGTCCATTCAGCCAGTCTTCCCAGCCATCCAAGCGTATCCGGCCCAATGGACGGAAGCACACGGGTTCAATAAACCCATCTGGCTCTTTGCTGTGCTACTGCTATGGCTTGTTATATTTGTGTGGTTTCTCACTGAACAACTACCGCTCCGCGATGGGGATGGCAATAGCGTGATCAACCTCGATTGCGTAGACACGCTCTGGAAACGAAAGAACGAATGCGGAATCGATGGGATCGATTGCCGCCCTTTCAGCAACTATTCATTCGCCTTCCGGTGTCCAGCGAAGTGCGGCGACGTGCAGATCTTGAATCCGCACATTGTTGGACCTCTCGAAGTAAACTACCGACCGCTTGTCATCGGTACGGGATTTTACCGTGGAGACAGTTTCATCTGCGGATCCGCGATCCATGCTGGCATTGTGGATGGCCGGAAAGGTGGTAAGGAACTGCCCGTAGGAACTGTGTGTAAGACATACTGACATGTTATCTTCATTCTTGTAGGCTCTGGTCGAATCACTCTCGTTGGTGAGCATGACAGTTTCGCCAGTACTAAGCGACACGGCATCGAATCCTTGCCTTTCGATTCGTACTTTCCGCTTGCCTTTTCCGTGGGCTATGACGATAGCTTCCACTCCGCTTCCGACCCTCGGTCAGCCTTGCTTCCTGTTTCACTCTTCGTCACTGCTGCGCTTGCTATCTTCACCACGTCACCCAAGATCTTCTTTGCGATCTTCAGCCTTATTTTTGCCCACGTGAGCTTTGTTTCCGACCCACCGTCAGCGTCTTCCCGAAACACTACTGTTCTTCCGGATCATCTGTCCATGTTCGCGAAGCGACTTTTACCGGCAATGTTCGTGGCCGTTGTCATATACTCCACTACCGTGAAGAGGTCATTACTTGGGATGACTGCTCATTTTGAGAAAGCACTTTTCTGGCTTTCCAGTTTCTGGATTGGCGCACTTTCAAATTATACTTTTGATTGGATACCGATATCTCGACTTACCTCGCACGATCTGGAACAACAACCCGGGGCAAAGCTAGCCTTGGCAATCATCGTTCTGGTGCTGGTGGTCATCATTGTAGGGCAAGTATATTTCTTCTGGCTCGAAGGCCGCCTGCTCCGCTACCTCGGCTTGTATGGACTTTTCATTCTTGGAATCATTGTCTGCTTGACTATCCCAGGCGTAAATCTAAGGATCCACCACTACATCCTCGCGATATTGTTGCTGCCGGGCACGAGTTTGCAAACACGACCGTCTTTACTGTACCAAGGCATTCTGTTGGGTCTTTTCGTCAATGGAATAGCGCGCTGGGACTTTGACTCTGTCTTGCAGACTTCTGCTGCACTTCGCGCTGATGCGAAGTTCAACTCCGTGGTTCCCAAGATAGCGGACGCCACCGTCAATTTTGGTACCGAGGCGCTGGTCGCGACATTTCGGTATGAAGCACACCCGGTCGGAATTGACGGCATAAGTGTCTTAGTAAATGATGTTGAGCGGGACCGCGCGTTCTACGATGATGGGCTAGGTGGAGCTTCTTTTGAGTGGCGCAGGCCACTTGATAGTGGAATCAACGAGTACTTCCGGTGGGCTTATGTAAGAGATGGGAGAACTTTGGATTATACCAGGCCAGGTACATTATCTGGCAACGGCACGTGGATTCTTGGAGAGCCGGTGGAGAAGATATGAGTGCAGCTGGCTGCACGGTTGCAATTATAAGGATACATCGCGTCTAGGCTCATGTGCCTGGGGTGTGGTGGAGGCCCACGAGGTTCGTTGATTGGAGAATATAAGCTTTTACGATCACAAGAACATGTCAGGGTCTGGTCGTTGTTATCGCTCACATCCGAAGACCTGTCATTTGCTGTAGGCGACATCGGACCATGGTATCAGTTCCAAATACCCCACACTCTTCGTCACGAAGCCCGCATCACTATTAGCTTCAACCACAAGACAGATACGGTCTGAGGCTTCTCCGTAGCCCATATCTCTTCATCCAACCCTTTTCTCTTCCGGCTCATACTCACTCATCCATTCCTTCCAACCCTCACCACCTTTCAAGATGGTAAGTCACAGTTGTTCAGTTCTGCAGTCATGCCGCACATTTTCCGTTCAAATCAGAGTTTCAATCTCCTGGACAAGCCGCGATACAAGATCTGTATCCAAGCAGCGATTTCGGGGCTACATGCGCGATTCCATGAGCTATACTGACCATGCCACAGCACTATACACTCATCGCTTCGACGGCTGCACTTTCTGCACTGGTTCCGCGCCAGATGCGAAACTGCCCCGCTATACCTACATGCCCTCGCTGGAACGGTTGCGTATCTACATCCACCAACGGTGCTGTATTCCAGCTCACCTGTGCGACCGACTACAACGGCCCCATCATCGACTCTGCCCAGGTACGTTAGAATCCCGAGGAAGACTAGAATACTATTCACACCTTTAAAGGCCGATGTATTCGTCGACTGCGCAGATGCTTGCTCTCGACACAAGGATTGCGTCGCATTCAACATGAAGGGAAGTTTCTGCTACCTTCTGGGCAACCCCAAGGGTACTGCCCGGCCAGCGTAAGTTTGTCTCTAACACGTCCATCTATTGCCAACAACTTTCCAACTCATCCTGCAGAACCAACGTGTCCACCGGCAATCAGCTCAAGGGCCCGACCATCGCAGAGCCCGCGCCTGGCTCCTCGACATGCACCGACGTCATCGACTGCCCTACCGATGACAAGTGCAGGTACACCACTGCGAACCAGAAGCCGTTCATTGCACAGTGCAACTGGGACTACTATGGTGGCGACATTGCCTACAAGTCAACCGAGTCCATGACCAAGTGTGTGGACGTGTGTTCTTTTACAACAGGATGTGTTGCCGTTACTTGGTTTGACCAGAACTGCTACCTCAAGAACAACAACACCAACATGATCTACAACAACAATGTTGATAGTAAGCATTTGTGCAATCGCGAGTTTGATCTCCGAGCTAACGCATGTTTAGGTGTTCATCTTGAGAACTAGACTTCTCATCTTTGAGGCAAGCTGGATGCCGTCAACGTTGCATATCATCACTGGATCGGTCACCACCATGCCGTGGTGTTGGAGTGGGCGTCTATGGGGTTTTCCAGGCCAAGATGTTGCATGAAATGCCGCATATCGGCCCGTAGGCTGTTGCTCTAGTCGAGCATACAATATCACGAATAATCCCCCGTTTCAGTTTCACCTTGCGAAAGTAGTTTCGATGATTATGTCATTCTTTTGTACTGCGTACACGAGCTAGTTTTACACGTCTTCCTCTAGTGGCGCGCCTCGCTTACGGTACCTATGCTTGACCGGCAACACAGCCCGAACTTGGCATGGTAGGCTGTGTTTGACACCAACCAACAAAAGCCAGCTATTTTGCCCTTGGGTCGATCTTCGAAATAGTCGAGGAATTGTGGGGTGATCATCAGGCTGAGACGTCAAGTGCACAGATACGGGACCTGCGTTGAAGGTACGCGCCACGATAAGGCGACCTGTGTGTTGATAAACTTTCTCTTTTGCGCCTTGCTACGTAGAGGTGCTTATAGTGAAAACGAATTTACTCAATCTCGCATCTCATTTCATAAATATTGATATACTGCACTCCCGAGATTCTTCCACAGCTTCACCTACGCGTTACCAAAGTACCTCCAAACATGGGCATCCTAGCATCTTTCACTCGTCCTAAAAGTCCACTTTGGCAAGGACCTCAACACTTCCATCACCATGTCTTTCTCGTCAAGGCATTTATTCTTTTTGTCTTTATCATCATTATCATTTCCCACAATGCTTCCTTCAAGTACGGATTTAACGATCGCGACAACGACCCCCGCTGGCAAAGCTATGCGTAAGTCACAGCACATGGTCTTCCCACTTACGATCATTTCAAGAGCCAGGCCGATCGAATAAGCGCATACTAACTTTGTATCCAGGAATGATTGGTTCTTCCGCACAGGATTCGCAATGATCCCAGATACCATTTACACCCTCTTCAGCCTCGTGGCTATACCCTCTTCAGCCTCCGCACCAAATTTGTTTCATCCCATCCTTACTCTCACTGTATCTTTGGTCATGGTGTGTCTTTATGGGGCCATCTGCTTTCTACACACGCTCATCATCTACAACGATGAGAGCAATACCTACAACAAGTCGTATTGGGATAGCCTTGGATATGCTGAGGTGGGATTCCAGGGGTTACTAAACCTTTTACATGCGGGAATGGCTCTACTGAGTTGCATCGCTGTGCATCAGTGGAGGAGGTCGAAGAAGGGTAAGGGGGCTGGTTATACTGCGGATGTGGAGTTGACGCCTTCGACCAAGGATGGTAGGGCCAGTGGTTTGAGTTAGATGGTCAGGTAGAAGAAGAGGGGACATTGTTTGATGTGCTTGCCGTTGGCGGGTTTCGCGGGTTGAGCACGGCGGCAGCATCAAAGCGAACGAAAATGAGTAATAATGAGGGGAATTTAGACTACGTGTAATTATTTAGAGCAACAATGTATAATACATCTTAGTTTCTGCAATCTCAATGAGAAGGTTCAAAGTGGGAGTGGATGACGCTTATCTCCATGATCGCCGTTGATAGCACCCCACTAACGCTACGGTGACTCAACCAACCACGACTCACATAAAAGACACGACGACTGCCAGAGCGTCAATGTAGCCGTTCATCTGTTCAGAATTCCGATGGCGCTTCAAAGCCTCGTTGTTGGCGCGATAGCGGCTCATCCCACAACAGCCTTGTTCTTCACGCCTTTCCTGCTTGTATTGATCCGATCAGTATATCGCATCTACTTTCACCCTCTCTCCCACATCCCTGGACCTATTTTGCCTAAGCTGACCAGCATTTTCCTTCACTACCACGCCTACATCGGAGACGAAGCAAGCACTATCCACAAACTCCACGAACAATATGGCCCCTATGTCCGAGTCTCACCGAATGAAGTCGATATAAGCGACGCGGATGCTATACCCGCAATCTACGCATCGAAAGGAGGCTTTCCAAAAGCGGCGTGCTATGCAAATTTCGACATTGATGGCCACAAGACCATTTTCTCGACTATCGATACGGACTACAGGAGCCCAAGAGCGAAAGCTGTGGTCCCGCTGTTCTCAACAAAAGCATTGAGGGAAAATGAGAGAGCGATTTGGGGATGCGTCGATCGTATGGTGGAGCGATTGAGGGACGAAGCCATGACAAAGCGGCCTGTCAACGTGCTCAACTTGACGCGAAGCCTGGCTGTGGACGCAGTTTCTACGCACCTGTTCCGGGAGAATTACGATGGGGTCAGCGAACGCGGTCCAGTACTCAGCGTGAGCGCATTCGTGGACGCGTTTGTCGCTGTCGGTCGCTTCTTCTACCTCCCGAATCTCGCTTTCACGTGGCTGGAATGGGCCGTTGCCAAATGGTTGCCCGATCCAGAGACTGATGATAGCATGATGCTTGTTGATAAGTTCATCGGCACACTGGTAGCGAATACCTCCGAGAAGTCAACAACATACCCCGGGCGTCTACTCGCTGCGGGGCTCAGCGACTCCGAAGTCAAGGCACAGTGCAAAGACCTCATCTTCGCTGGGACAGATTCTACGGGGATGAACTTGGCAACGATCATGCGCAATTTGGCGTTGTACCCAGACATGTACGAAAGACTAAAGGATGAGGTTAACAACAACATTGCCCTTGGTCCAGATGCGCAGGACGTTCAAGCGCTACCCTATCTCAACGCTATTGTCAAAGAAGGCCTCCGAATTAGCATGGCAAATCCTACGCGCTTACCTCATACGGTCCCTGCAGGAGGTTGGACTTTCAAAAACACCTACTTCCCAGCTGGTGCCATTGTCGGTTGCTCAGCATATGAGCTGCACTTCAACCCGGACATCTTTCCCTCACCAAGGAGCTTCCGGCCTGAAAGATGGCTGAGCCCAACAGAAGCTATGTCGAAATACTGGTTCGCATTCGGCGCAGGGAGCAGAGCGTGCATCGCCAGAAACTTGGCAACCATGGAGTTACAATTCGCGACGGAGAGGCTAGGTAGAAGTGGGGTTCTTGATGGTGCAAGTGTAGTACAGAACGATGTCGAGATCTATGAGTGGTTCAATTCGAAAGTCAAGGGCGAGAGAATTGACTTGGTCTGGGGTTGAGTGAGATGGCTCTACAATCCCCTTGACTAGATGAAGTTTCGACTTAGGAAAAGGGCATGCATTACATAAAATGAGAACAAAGGATGTACACTGGTGTCGTATGTCCGGTTTGTATGCGTCCTGGGAGCTTTCATGACAGGCATCCTACCAGGTCTTATGTCACCCAGTGCCGATTGTAAGTGTATCGGTCAATTGCATGCACGCTTCCAATGCAGGACAGTGTCACTGAAGCAATCATGAGTTGAGTGAGCGGCCTCTTTGAGAACGACTGACCATCGCGGACTCCATCGGCAAGTTGCGAAGCAAGTAGTGAGAACATGCGATCGGTGAGCATACATCAACAAGGAAGCAAGTATCTCAGAAATTAAGGAGATGTAATGTATTCAGAAGAAGCTACAAACTACTAACGCGGAGCAACAAAGGGGAAGAGAAACAACGGTAGAAAGAACATGGCAGAAGCCAGCGCAAGCTCACACTAGCGTGAAACGGAGCGACGCGACCAACGAAGCGTGCAAAAAGACAGCAGAGCCAAAAGCGACAATCCAGCTACCTCATCGGTTCGTGGCATCGCAGGATGGCTCGCTTCAGTCGGCACGAAGAGAAATGCCCGGCGGAATCGGTTCAAGGACGGCACTTCTCGCCTTTCTCGAAGCACAACTCGACAACCTCGCGCGCGCCGTTGTGGAAGCACTTCTTCTTGATGCCGCAGGTGAACTGCCAGTCGCACATCTGGGAGGAGTTAGTCGACGAACCATACCAATGAAGATGATGCAACATTGCAGGGGGTGGGTGGGCAAGGCAGTGACTTACGTTGCAAGACTCATCACCGGACTCGCACAGATAGCAATCCTCATCGGCAAAGGAAAAGTCTGGCCGGGTTCCGTTGGAGATCGCCGGCTGCAAATGGGTAGTCGTTGTGTTGGAAGTAGGGGCGTCATCGCCAGCGAGCACCAGAAGCATCGCGGCGGAGCCAAGGAAATCGCCGGAAGCCATGGACGTGTCGTATGCTTTGGACGCCTCGGCGTCCTCTAGGAGGCTTATGCAGATCTCCGCTTCGCTGAGAGGGTCTTTGCACAGGAAGTGCTCACAGCCTTGGTCTTCGTCGCAAGCGAAATCGCACCCCTGTTTGTAGCGGAAGTCAGTCAGAAGTTCTATGAGCACGCGACGGACTGGTGCTTCAACTTACATCGCATTCCGCGTTACCGTCGCAAGAGTCGCACATCGGCTTGGCGATAATGGTATCGCGGGGAGACATAGGCGCAGGGGTTTGGTTGGCACGAACTGATCTGGCTACGGTGTGGGTCGCGGTCGTGATTACAGTGACGGGAATCTCGAGCACGTGTGGTGAGCGCGAAGCAGTAACAGTTGGTGGCTGGAGCATGATGGTGGACGCTGGATCATGGTAGTGATAGGTGACAATGGAAGTTGTGCCTGGCTGCTGGTAGACGACAGTAGAAGCTGGGTTCTGTACGGTGACAATGGATGTGGTGCCTGGTTGCTGGTAGATTACGGTGGAAGCCGGCTTCTCCACAGTGACGGTATTAATCTGAATCTGAGGGGCTGCCACGACGACAGTGGTAGTCTGAACCCGAGGAGCTGTCATGACGACAGTGGTGGTCTGAACCTGAGGAGCTGTCACGACGACAGTGGTGATCTGTGGACGCTGAGCAACAACTGTCACAGTGCTTGTCTGTGGACGCTGAGAAATAACTGTCACGGTTTTGGTCTGTGGACGCTGAGTAACCACTGTCACAGTACTGGTTACTACAGGTATCGAAGTAGTGGTCGTAGTGCATGGGGAGCTCTGAGGAGCTACGACAACAGTAGTGGTACTGGTAACAGGGGCGGACACGGTGACGGTG